ACAAAGAGGAAATACAATAAAGAATGATGACTGGGGATCGTGCCATATATGCGCTAAAAGGAATAATTAGATTCAATACGAGGGAAGAAAAAAGAGAGGCAGACCAAGGACGAGGTAGACAACTAAGGTGAAAGATGACGTGAGGAGATTAAATATAAATGATTGAGAAATAAGATCAATTAATAGAGAAGAACGGCGAAGGATCACCAATCAAGCCATGGGCCTACTAGGACTGATATATATATTTGTTATATATATATATACATATAACAAAAAATATATAGGAAAATAATGGGCAAAATCCGAAAAAAGAAGGAAAGTGGATTCGAGCAGAAAATAGGATAGGAAACCAGAGGGATATGTATTTCTGCTGGTTGGCTTCATCAAGCCCGAAATGAATGCACATATGCAACTACAAAAGTTGATACACATGCTCATACATCCGGATACGGGTGTAACCTGAGGAAACGAAGATGGAGAGGGAAAAAAATCGCACACGAAGTGTGGTTAGATGTCGCCTTGAAAATTAGAGGTCTTCTAACCATTTTATACTACAATGTGTAGGTTGGCTCTTGTTGTGGACTTCGTGTGTGATTTTCTTCCCAGCAGAAATACGTATCGCTCGGGTTACCTATCCTATTTTCTGCTCGAATCCACTTTCCTTCTTTTTGCGGAGTTTGCCCATTATTTTCCTATTTTCTGTTATATATCTTTCTCCGCATGGTCATTTTCTATATATATATATATATATATATATATATATACGAGCCCCTTCCCACTTCAGTTGGCCCACTTCAAGATTTGTACCAAAATATGCCTTTATAAACTAAACATGACGAAACTATTTACTTCTAAAACAATTTATTTTCTCAAAAACATTTTAGATACACTCTAGTCATGAAAAATACATATTTGAAATCGCTTAGACTTATAACTAATAGAACATCTGAACAAATAAACAATGTGCGAATGAATGCGCGAAGTTAACAAAGCAACAATTGAAAGATTACCATTGGGTAACAACACCTTTATTTTTTAACCAAGTTTTGGCAAACATTTGGTGTAAAACAATCCCATATGTCTTGCAGCTTTTGTCTCAGTCCGGTGATTGATTGAGCAGGATGTTGTCGTAGAACCTTTTTCATCTCGTGCCACAAAGTTTCAATAGGTGACAGATCTGGACTGCTAGAAACCTATTTCAAAAGTGGTACATTATTTTCTTCCATCCATTTTATAGCCTTTTTTCAGGTATGGCACGCTACACCATCTTGCTGAAACACAAAATCTTGGCCGGATGTCAAACATTCTTCCATCACTGGTAAAAGCAATTCTTCTAAAATTGCCAAATATTTGTTTGTATCCACATTTCCATCAATAAAATGAAGTTTTCCTACTCCTTTTGATGACATACTGCCCCAGACCATAATGGATGCTGGAAATTTCACTTTTCTCTGCAGACAGTCAACATGGAATGCTTCATTTTTTTTGCGAATAACTCTACTGCGACTGTCACCAACGCAAACTTCGAATCGGGCCTCATCACTCCATTGAATTGCACACCATTGTTGAGGTGTCCATTGTCTATGTTCTTTAGCCCATCTAAGCCGATTTTTCTTTTGCAGTGGAGTTAATAGTGGCTTTTCTTTGGCCTATAAACAGGTTGTGCAACTTTAGGGTTTTTACTTCACTTATTTTTATAAGATCTTGCAAGTGCTAAATCCCAGTTTGTGGGCCTCTCTATGAGTTGTGGACCTCGAAATTCTACTTCCAACAGCGTCACTCCACAGAGCACTTAATTGTAAATAATTGGCACGCCTGTTTTTCACGATTATTCTTCTTAATGCTCTTCGGTCGGCATTTGTGATATTACTTTTTTTCACATATCGCGGCTTAATACTAACTGAACCAGTTACGTTATAACTTCTAACAGTATTTCTCACACTGTACCGCGATAAGTCTAACAAAGTTTCTGAGTTTGATCTCCCAGAATTAAAAAATTTAATTATCAGTAACCGAATTTTCTCACTGATAACCTTTCCTCTACCCATTTTGAAAACCTTAACTACCCAAAACTATTTTTAACATATTCTGACAGCTGTGATTAATAAAAACAATTGTCATGGCTTTTATTTTTCACAGCCAGCTATGCGTTGTAGACCTATTTTGCATTGAAATGAAAATTGGTTGATATGCTGTAATTTGCAACATGTGTTATTTTTATGCTGCAAATTCGATTAGGGAGAGATAAAGTTTTCTACTATATATTATCAAAATATTCATTGTTGATATTTTAAACCTATAACACTCTGCTAAATTGTTGCATGGTCAAGTAGACTGTCTCCAAATTCTCTCGCAGTTACAATTTCTGGTGCCGCGGTTAGCTTCCTTTTTTATGTCCACTGCAGAAGAAAAATCGGCTTAGATGGGCTAAAGAAGATAGACAATGGACAACTCAACAATGGTGTGCAATACAATGGAGTGATGAGGCCCGATTCGAAGTTTGTGTTGGTGACAGTCGCAGTAGAGTTATTCGCAAAAAATGAAGCATTCCATGTTGACTGTCTGAAGAGAAAAGTAAAATTTCCAGCAACCATTATGGTCTGGGGCAGTATGTCATCAAAAGGAGTAGGAAAACTAACTAAAACTAAAAATTTTATTGATGGAAATGTGGATACAAACAAATATTTGGCAATTTTAGAAGAATCGCTTTTACCAGTGATGGAAGAATGTTTGACATGCGGCAAGATTTTGTGTTTCAGCAAGATGGTGCAGCGTGCCATACCTCAAAAAAGGCTATAAAATGAATAGAAAAAAATAATGTACCACTTTTGAAATGGGATTCTAGCAGTCCAGATCTGTCACCTATTGAAACTTTGTGGCACGAGATGAAAAAGGTTCTACTACAACATCCTGCTAGTACAATCACCGAACTGAGACAAAAGCTGCAAGACATATGGTATTGTTTTACACCAAATTTTTGCCAAAATTTGGTTAAAAAATAAAGGTGATGTTACCCAATGGTAATCTTTCAATTGTTGCTTTGTTAACTTCGCGCATTTATTCGCACATTGTCTATTTGTTCAGATGTTCTATTAGTTATAAGTCTAAGCGATTTCAAATATGTACTTTTTACGACTAGAGTGTATCTAAAATGTTTTTGAGAAAATAAATTGTTTTAGAAGTAAATAGTCTCGTCATGTTTAGTTTATAACGGCATATTTTGGTACAAATCTTGAAGTGGGGCAACTGAAGTGGGAAGGGGCTCGTACATATATATACATATACTTAATACCTTTAAGCTAACTTTTATTTTGAAAAATTGCTCTGTTATTGGCGATAAGCTGTTGGGCAATAAAGGCTTACTGTTATTATTATTATTATTATTATTATTATTATTATTATAAAAGATACGCAGTGTTGAAGATTAAAAATAAAATATGTTTTTTTTAATATCTTCAAAACTGTCAATTGGAATGAACTAAAAATTGGTATGTGGATTTACCTAAGTATTATTCACATTCAAAAGTCATTACTTAAAATTAACGTGCACCAGTGGCGGAGATGCAGGAGATTAGAGGTACTATTTTTCCAAATAAGAATAGTATGCCCCTGTTTCTTTTCGAAACGCGTAATTTTTCGATTCTTACCTTAAATTTGCTAGGAATAATTACTCTTGTGTTTTTTCATAGAGTGCACTGTTTTCGCAAAAATAAAACAAATTAGATTATTCATGAAGAGACGAGATACAAATAGTTTCAAAATGAAATTGGAGACCTTGATACCAACCTGACGTTTCTTGGGAGACAGCTTGTCAAAGTTATGTGTTATACGATTGTTATCGTTACTACTGAATTTTATTTTTTTTGTAAAAGCAAGTCAAATGATTCTTTTTCCATTTTTGAGTGTTATGAACTGGCATTTGGCAATGATGAGTACGTCGATATTATTTTTTTCTGTAATGGAAGTGCTTTAGTGGCTTTTCGGAAGTATCATCGAAGATTTCCTTACAGACGCCAACCTACCTCAAAGATCTTTAAGCGTTCATTTCTAAGACTTCGGCAATATGCAATTGCCAAACTTCCTAGAGTTAGAGGCCATGGTGTCTGGCATAATGTTCAAGAGGAACAGGAAGTGATTAATCGGGCTTTGGATGATCGTAGTACGGATTGCAGCTCAGTTTCCATGTTCCCAATGTCTTGCGTGGAGAATTTTGAACCGGGAAGTTTTAAATCCTTACCATCAGCAAAATGTGCAATGTCTGCAATCCGGTGATGAAGTGCAATGGCGAATGGTTACTGCAAATGCATAATCAAAATGCAGATTTTACTGATTTGATTTTGTGGGCAGATGAATTGCCTTTTACGAGAAGTGGAACCTTTAATACTCATAATGAACATATTTGGTCGTTAGAAAATCCCCGTTCTGTAAGAATCCACTCGTTTCAACACATATTTTCTGGAAATGTCTGATGCGGGATTTTCAATGGCCAACTGTTTATGCGCATTCCAATTGACGGTTTTGAAGATATGCCACAATACCAATATCAATAGGTTTTTAAAGTGGCAGGTGTCGTATTCCTGTTTCTCAAAAGATTCCATGGACATCATTCATCTTAGTAAAAAAAGCTCCTGAACTAAACGTGTTGATTTGTATAAATCGCTAGGCAAGGGTTGCTCTGCCGCATGGTCAGCCGCGCCTGGTGATGCCTCAGCATTTTCCTCTTTTATTCTTTTCGATGAAGGGTTTTATATTGCCGGAGATTTTATGGACCGCTGTATATTACCATATACGTCCCGAGTTTTTCCAACGATTCAGGCAATTTTGTTTTTCATGCGCCATATTTCTCGTAGGATAGATGGGGAAGTGAATAGCGGCCGGATGGCGATATAATATACTCTTTAAATTAGGCACTACGGATAGGCATGAACCATGTTGATAAAGTTCTTCTGAACCCATCAAATTTCGAAATAGAGATATTATGTTTCTTGGATGTCATATGAAATGTACGGACGAGCGAACATCATTTTTGGTCGAATCCGAGCTTGAATATTTAATTAGTGCCGAAACTTAGCTGTTCTGTAAGTAGTTTTAGGTACATCCAGTCTGAGCAGGAGCCCCGCAACATATATGAGTGTCTCCCAAGCGGGCTTGCCCCCTGGAAAGAAAAGGAAGGAATCGAAGGATTCAATGGATGCAATTATTGAAGATAATTCCCAGGTCGGTAATGATAATACAACTGACTATGATCTACAATCAGGAGTAATGCAGGTAGAACTTCCAACATTATCTCCCAAAAAAGCAGATCGACCGCTTTTAGCATATAAGCAGACTGATAAGGACCCCTATCATGTTTATATCGAAAACAATGAACCAAATTTCTCAGGTAAATTAAATCCAGTTAAGGTTGGTGAAACTATTCTCAAAAATAGTCCTGAAGTTGACAATATGATTAAAAGAATTGAATCGATTGGACGCAATAGGGTAAGGATTGTGTTCAAAAATCCATCAGCAGCAAATGTCCTGTTAAATAAAACGATTTTATTCAAAACTATCAATTTCGACGTTTATATACCCAAATTCATTTTATATAGACAGGGTGTTATTTCGGTGGACAAAGACACTGCATTTTCTCGGTGGATTTGGTTAAACGCATGCACCGGAAATCAGATCAAAATGGTGACATTAAATATCTACCTATAAATAAGGTTGTAGTTACTTTTCAAGCGCAAGAATTGCCTAAGCGTGTTGCTATAAATCACGTTCTTTTTGATGTAAATCATTATATACAGAAGGTAATTCTGTGTCATAACTGTATGCGTTATGGTCATTTGGGTAAGCAATGTAGAAGCAAGCCTAGGTGTGCAAAATGTCACGAAGAACATGTTAACTAGCTCATGCCACAACGACTCTTTGGAACAAAAATGTTTAATTTGCGATGGCAGTCACTACTCATTTGAAACCTCAAAATGTAATGAATTTGAGAGGCAAAAGGCAATTAAAAAGCATATAGCAATGACTAATTCTTCTTTTAGAGACTCAAACAATGCGGTGCCAAAAACCACATATGCTTCAGTTACAAAAAAATAATCCGATTACGCCTCAAGAAATCAATAGTTCTAATCTTCCATCTCAATCATCAAACACTCAAACATCAATAAATATTCCAAACGCGAATTCGCACTTTACACAAAGGTTGTCAAAACCTTTGAAACGGAACTCGCCTTCCTCGCCAGATTTGACAGAAGAAGCTAGGAGACAAATTGTGAGTCAAATAAACACTCCACAGGTACCCGGGGAGAAACAAACATCAACAGCTTGAATAAATCAACTATAACTAATCTCATAAGAGAAAGAATAAATATAGACAAATAAGTTTAAGAATTAAGAAAATTACAGTATATTTTTAATCATTTTACACTTTTACCAAGATGTTCGTACGTTATGAAAAACATAAAATAGAATCTATACAATGCATTTAGAAACCACAATGAATTTTTTGAGGATATGTCAATGGAATTGTAGATCGGCTATAGCAAATAAAGGTAATTTGGAACACCTTTTTGAAGAACAAAATGTGGACATCGCACTTTTGTCTGAAACCTGGTTTAAAATGAATACATATGTAAAATTTAAAGGTTATTACGTTATCCGTCAAGACCGGTCAGATGGCAAAGGATACTGATGAGAAATAGTTTAAAATATTCTCAAATATCATTAGTTGCTTGTAATAAAATAATGAAAGTATGTTCCACAGTAAAGTTTCAAGGAATCTCAGATATTACATTCGTATCAGTATATATTAAACCACAAACCAAAATCACTAAACAGGAATGGATACAATTTTTATTATAGGAGGTGATTTTAATGCACATCACACTTCATGGGGTTGTGCTCAGGATGACGTATTTGGGAAAATCCTGATTGAAGCTCTAGATGGCAGTAAGCTCAGTTTTATTAACAATGGAGATCCAACTTATGTAAAATATCAATCAAAATCAGCAATAGATCTTACATTATGTTCACCTCAAATTCATCATCAGCTAGAATGGCGAACCTTGCCAGACCCATGTGGTTCAGATCATTTGCCTATACTTATCAATTGTAATTTTACTCCAGAAAAATTGTCATTTGCATCAAATAGAAAATGGAACATAAACAAAGCTTGCTGGAATCAGTTCTGTTTCGAGAGTATAAATAGATCTTATGTAGAACCTGTTATAGATTACAGCACTTTCATCAAAAATGTTAACCAGTCAGCTGAAGCTTCTATTCCGAAATATAAAAACAAAAATAATGTCAAAGGAAAACCATGGTGGACCAATGAATGTAATATAGCAGTAGAAAAATGTACGGATAGTTTTAGACTATATCAGACAAACCCAAACCTCGAAAACTTACTTAATTTTAAAAAACTTGACGCGAAGGCCAAACAAATATTCAAAAAGGTTAAAAGAGAAAGTTGGCGTCAATATTGTTCATCTTTAAATAGTAACACCCCACTTAAACAAATTTGGAAGCAAGTTAACTTGTATAAAAATAGGCGACAGAGTAATTATCATGTTATAGAAGCTTCAGCAGAATGGGTACAGGAATTTCATTGTAAGTTGGCCTCAAATTATGTAACAACATCCAAAGAAGAATCTCAACGTGGACTAACCATGAACTGATGCAACCTTTTACCTTGATACAATTACAGAGAGTCTTCAAACAGAACAACAATACATCTCCGGGAAAGGACCAAGATCATTATTCGATATTATACCAACTACAACAACGAAACAATCGTTATTGGATATTTTCAATCAAATATATTGTGGGAATGCTGAAATACCGAAAGATTGGTACGATTATATAATTATTCCAATTCTGAAACCTGGAAAACCAGAACATCATCAAGATTCATATCGTCCCATTGCACTAGCTTCATGCGTTTTGAAAACTTACGAAAGACTCATAAAGAACAGGTTGGAATTCTACTTGGAGAAAAACCAATCTTCCAAAAGAACTTGCCAACCATTTGTTATTACTGTATAGCAATAGAAACATTTTCATCAGAGCCTCTGAGCAGACTATTGGACCACGATCAACATCTAAAGGACTAGCACAAGGGAGTCTATTGAGTCCCATCTTGTATATAATATATTCCTATGACTTTGAAAGAGCTTTTCATTCAAGAGATGCTAAAATATATCAGTTTGCAGATGACTATGCCATTACTATCCAGAACAAAAATGTATCTCAATCTATGGAACTTCTAGAAACAGCGACTTCCATTGCACACGAATGGTTTGAGAATAAAGGATCTTCCATTGCCTACTCAAAATCTTGTGTATGTACGTTTACCAGATCTCGCCTTAGTCCTTCAAATATCATCACTCTGGCTGGGCAGAATATATCTTATAAAACTTCTGTCAAATATCTAGGAGTTATCCTAGATAAAAAACTTAACTGGAAAGAACATATTACAAACATTTTAAAGAGAAGTCAGAATGCTTTTAACATTCTGAAGTCCTTTTCACATCGAAAATGGGGAGCAGATCCAGCAGTGTGCTTAACCTTTTACAGGACCTTAGTTCGATCAATCTTGGACTACGGATCAATACTTTATGGAAATGCATCTAGAATTCATCTTCAAAAAATAGAACAGATCAAAAATAAGTGCCTTAGGCTATGTATCGGATATTTGAATAGCAAACCTGAATATTCGGCATATAACTCTCCACCCGAAGTTATCTTTACGAAATATTCCGAACTAGATTTATCAACACCTTACAAATTCCGGCATGATATTCGAACACGATGGAGTGGATGGGAATATGTCTTCACGGATGGTTCGAAGAAAGACAATTTAGCGGGATGTTCATTTTATCACAGCAACAATTCGTATCACCAAGAATTCAAGTTGCCACCTGAATGTTCGGTATACACAGCAGAACTGGTTGCGATCAACCAAGCTATTGAATACTGTTTCCAATTCCATGGAAATAAGAATTTTGTTACTTTTACCGACTGTAACAAAATTGGAGAATTGTCACCCCACTGCAGATCTTAATCATCTAATTGCGAACATCATCAAGCGCATTCAGGAGCTGAATAGAATCGACAAAACTATAAACATAGTCTGGATCAAAGGCCACTCAGGTATAAAAGAAAACGAGATGGTAGATAATTTTGCAAAAAGAGCTACAACTAGAGGCGATTACGTTCCGGGCATGGAGATTCCTTTTACTGACACTCATTTTCTGATCAGACAACGACTAAAGAATAAATGGAATAACCATTACAAAATCAGTCCAACAGGAAGTTACCTGAAACGTATACAAGAGACTCTTCGAAGCAGACCTTGGTTTCAAGGAATTACCAATCGTCCTTATATTAGAACCGTGAGCAGAATAAGAAGTGGTCATGTCCTAACGCCCCATCATAAATCAAGAATTGGATACGGAGATGATCCACTTTGCAGTTGTGGAAATATAGGAACCTTGCAACACTTAATATTAGAATGTACAAGTTCTAACAACGAAAATTCTGAATTGTATAAAATTTTAGCGAATCACCTTCCTTTGCCTCTAAATTTAGAATCAATTCTCAGTTCTGAGAACCAGCAAGTTTACGAACTTTTATACAAGCATTGTCGGAAAGTAGGTCTAACATTATAAAATGTAAATTACAGTAAGTTTGTTTGAAAAAAAGAAGAAAATATTGAAAAAAAAAACTAAAAAAGCAGATCAGTAAAAAAAAAACAATCTTATAAACAAAATAGAGAAAAGGAAAAAATAAGTAAAAAGTATTGGTTAAAAACAAAAACAAAAAAAAAAGAGAAATATGTGTTTGCATACTCTATGTAAGTATAATAGAAATAATATACAATAATAATATTAAGTAATGGATGTTCTATTTTCTATTAAAGCATAGCATTATACTGAACATAAGGATCTGGCCAGTTGGTCATCGACCAGTGCCAATAACAGAACAAAAAAAAAATATGAAATGTACGTCACGAAAAACCATGCCACTCATTTCCGTAGGTCTGTCTCTCAGTCTGCTGATCTGTCCGCTAATTCTATAACCGCGTATCACTTGAGTAAGTACCGCTCGAATTTTGATGAATTTTGTACACAAGGTTACTATGTCTAGGGTAAAACAGCTCTGTAGCTTTTAAAAACCGGTCTAGTGGTGGTGGAACTAGGGGCAAAAACACGGAAACAATGGAAATCAATATTTAACTTTCATTTTCTTTTTTTATACTCCACCACGAAGGCCTAAGGGCTAAACACCCATTGATTACCGTGTGGCTATAGGGGGATACAGGGGAAAGGGGGAACGCCACACAGACTCTGGCAAAGGAACACGAGTGCATGCAACATGCACACATCCTGGCTCCGCCTACGAGATCCGCCGGGTGGTACCTCCACGTTCGACAGTCAGAGACCGTCTACCACCTACGGATAATCACAACATCCATAGCCAAGAGAATAATTTCCCCTGGGACGGGATTCGAAACCGCACAGCGCACGGCGACTGATCAGGAGACCGAAGAGTCTGCGGCCACCGCTGCTGCCTGAACGTTTCAGAGGTCCCTGATAATTTTCGGAAATTTTTGTGTAGGGTTGAAACTTGAGGGTTGTCGGTTGTAGGGCATTGTAAGTGTAACGTTTTCAGTATTATTCGCAGGCGTTCTACCATTAAGAAGCTTCTAACCCCGGTAACAAGGGGAAATTAAATGATAAGGGTCCGATGTATAATGTGCTAATAATTCGAAATAACTTTGCCTACTATGCAATGAGTAACAAACTGGTCTGCGGTTGTATCGTCTGTGACATACCGCTACAAGAGAAGTATTTATAAATTTTAGCATTATTTGGATATTAGGAGTACGTACTACTTTAACCTTCTGCGGTGCTTTTGTAAATGATGACTTAACTGTTTTTATAGATTTTTCTGAATTTTACGTTCCTTAAACTTTCTACCATGGATTTATCGAAAACCATTGATTAAAAGAAAAACTGCCGAGATACGTCAAAAGATTTGTTAAGGGGAACAACTTTTTAACCAAAAACTCCTTCACCCCCTTTCACCATTGGCCTCCCACGGTCATTCCCGTAAAAGTTTTAAATCCTTCATTATGACGTTTAATTTTTTAAAATCGGTCGAGTCGTTTTTGCTCAGATAGAGAACAAAAACACGCGAAAATATCACTTTTTATTTAAATAAACGTTCAAAATATTCAAATTCAAATTCAAATTCAAAATATTTATTTCGTCATGAATAAACATCATAAACAAAAGAAATTCTACATATACGTTAGAGTAATGACGA